TTCAGTGTTGTTATAGTGACTCAAACTTTTTCAAAATAGGAAACTCAGAAACCCCAAGGGTGATATTTGATACAAATCTAGAAGGTTAAGGAAGCAGACATTTTGCGAGGATATCTTAGCCTTACTAATTAATGTAAATTGATATCAATGTCTTGCCTATTCATTAAAAGGCTACTACAGTCATTAGATTTCTGTGGTGATTGTTTTTTAAAGGTTAGCCTTGACCAACTCCATTATAAGTTGTTTTAAGCAGTACAAGTGCACAGAACCAAGGCAAGAGCCTTATATTTATTTCAAACAGTGAAAGTAACAGCTATTAATTGGTTATTTCAGAAAGGTCAGTTGGAATTCCTTTATATAATCATTTGTTCATCCTGCCTTCATGTTAGTTCTTCTCTGTACTCATTCAGTTCCTTCATTTATGCATTTATTCCACATTGACTAGTCTCTTGTGTGCCAGGTTCTGTGCTGGGCACTGGGAGCATAATAGCAACCAGGAAACATTGAGCTTCTCCTTATCAGGCTTTGGGTTTCTCAAGACGGTGGTTTTGATTTGAGAAAAAATAGATCCAGAGTGATTGCATTTGCACTGTGAATTTTTAAGACGTTTATACAAATTACAGATGTAAAATAAGGTAATCTAGAGTGGCTTGACCTAGAGCAGTGGTCGGCAAACTGCGGCTTGGCAAACCTCGGCTCACGAGCCACATGCGGCTCTTTGGCCACTTCAGTGTGGTTCTTCCACAAAATACCGACTTCTGCGCATGGGCCACGAAGTTTCAATCGCACTGTACGTGTGCACCCTTATGTGGTATTTTGTGGAAGAGCCACACTGAAGTGGCCAAAGAGCCGCATGTGGCTCGTGAGCTGAGGTTTGCCGACCACGGACCTAGAGGGAAATGTTTTGAAGGACAGTTTACTGGAACTTATGAGACAAATGCCCTCTGGTTCTGCTTGGGCAGGACATTCATGCTGAGGCCAGTGTAGCAGAACCAGGGACTAGAAGAACTGGTTTTATGAGCCAGATGTAATCGCTCTTAGAAATTGTTACTTCTACTGTCCCATTTTGCAGATGAGACAATGGAGGCTGAGAGGATCATCCTGTAAGAAAGAGGCAGGTAGGGAGTGAACTTGGGTGTCCCAATTCCTCTGGTGAGGCTATTTAGACTCTAGCAAAGTGCTGCTACTGCTGAAACTGGTGAGAAAGGCGAAGAGGAAGAGGTGGGGAAAATGAAAAAGAAGCACAATAGAATAGGGAGAAGGGAAGTGAGAAGGAGCAAAGTACAAGAGGAGGAAAGTGGAGAAGGGAGATCGACTTTAGACTAAAACCTTAATCCAATCAGCAGTTATGGGTAGTTTTGTGTGTGTTCTGTTTTGTTGTTTTGTTTTATTAGTTTCTCCAAATTCCATTAGAGGTAACGATTTCTAAGAGAGGTTACCTCTGGCTCATAAAACCTGGAGTTTTTCCAGTCCCTGGATCTGCTGCAATGGCCTCAGCATGAATGTCCTGCCCCAATGAGAGCCAGAGGACACCTGTCTCATAAGTTCCAGTAAACTGTCCTTCCAACATCTGCCTTGATGTCAAGTCACTCTAGGTGACTTGCTGGCCTGATTGTGTTTTCACTGCAGCATGGAGCACAAGACATTGAAAAGTCCATTGTTCCGTGTTGTGATAATATAACACTGTAAATACTGTAGTTCAATGTACAAAGTGCTGTCCCTCCCACCCTGCTGGTAACCTGCGGAGACAGCTGAATGCCTTCTGGTCTGCTGAGCCCAGAAGAGTGGGGCTGGGCTTTCAGAAACAGCTGTGCTGATTCATCCAGAACAAAAGCCAGTTCTTCCTGCTAAATCCCTGGCAGGCATGGGCTGCGAGGCCAGCAGGCCCCTGTGCCCCTTGTTGGAAATTTCTTGATCTGGTTCCAACAGTGTCAGTCTCCTGCATGAGAGCCTTTGACAGCTTCCCCATCCCTCTAGTCTGGCATGTTTTCAGCCCACCTCAGAGAGTGGGAGACAGTGGCTTTGGAGTGAAATCTGGGTTCTCAGCTCTGCCATTTCCCAGTTGTGCAACGTAAACAAGTGACTTCACTTCTCTGAGCCTCAATTTCTTCATCTGTGAACTGGGAGTGAGAATAGTTCAATCGGAGGAATTTGTTGTCAGATTTGAAGGAGATAATGCTCGGAGCAGGCACCCATGAATCCTGTTGTCCTCTTGCTGCCCTCTTATCTTCTTGCTGTCTCGTTTTGTCTTCCATAACTCAGTCCATGTACCCTGCACTCCAGACACTCTGGAACATGCTCACTCATCTTAAACACCTCCATGCCTTTACCTACAGGGTTCCCATAACCAGCTACTGTTTACAGAGTCCTTTCTATGCCCCACTCTTTGACATAGACAATTTCATTTTCCCACAACTCTTTGAGGTGGACACAATTATCAGATCAAGAAACTGAGGCACAGAGAGGTGTCCTCCAAGGCCTAGCTCATCTCTTTTTTGCAGTCTCCGTGGACTCTGTGTTCCCCAGCTCTCATCCCATCCCCACCTGATCTTCCTCTATCTTAATTCCCATAACACCCTATTGTAAATGTCTGTTTCCTTGGCCACAGACCCTGCAAAGATTGAGTCTATGACTGATTTACTTGTATGCCCTTACCCCCAAATGCAGGACCTGCACAAAGCTGGTACTCAGAAAAGCAATAAGTAAATAATAGTAAGGAAAAAAACAGAAAACATAAACTTTTATGGGTACAGTTTGAAAGAATACAAAAATAGCACTGCCTCAAAGATCTTTTTGGTGTGTGTGCTCAAGGGGTTTTATGAGTTACTTTTTATTTCTACAGCATAGGCGTTTACGGTCTTTCTTAAAATAAGTCTACATTTCTCAAGCAACTTCAAATAACTTCCATATAAAGAGACAGTGACTTGTCATGAAGAAGTATATCAAGTGTACAGGGAAGGGGCTAACCTCAAGCCCTAACATTGTCAAGATGAAATGAAATAATTCCTGATCCTGAATAGGAGGCATGGAAAAGACCTTCCCTTCCCCTTGACTTTCTTTCACTTTTGCTGTGGAAAGAAGCAGGGTTCAAATCCCAGTCTACCACTCACCCAACTCTGGAGGCTTAAGCGGGTTACTTATCTTTTCTGAGCCTGTTTATTTATTTGAAAAATTGAAGATAATTATACCTAACCTGGATGATAGTTGTAAGGCTTAATTGAAATAATAATGCAGCTAGTATATAATAAGTGCCTAAAAAGTTGTAGTTATAATTACAATTTTAGTTGCTATTATGATGAGTGCCACTGTCATAGGACCACCTGTGTGCAGCTTCGGATAGCAGTGACAGGCCTGGTGGAAGGAGAAAGGGCATCTAGGTGCTTTTGCTATTTCCTTGAAATTCTAAGCTGGGAGGTGGATAGAGGGGGGATTTGCTGCTGGATAAGAGGAACAGTGACCTTGCTCAGGCTCATGCTGACTGGCGTTTGTTGATGGGACACAGTTACAGAATTGTGCCTGCCAGGGATCCAACGATGTGGAAATTCAACTGTGGGTTTTATGGCTGAGCTGACAGTGATCGCATGGAACTAATACTCTAAGTTCTCATTAAAATAATGGGACAAACACATTCCTGCCCATGGATTCAGAAGACATTAGAATTGGCAGCTCTTGGAATTCAAAGCACAACCCTCTGCTGAGTCCTCCTGATGTGTCCCAAATTCATCTCCCAGTTCCCTCATTTACTGATT